TGTCATCGATGTCACCATCACAAAAGCACAACGAGACGATGGATATGAGATTGGTGAACTTCACCTCTATACTGTACCAGATATTTTAGGGTTTTGAAGAGACGATTTGTTGGTGATAGAGTCGGAACGGTTAATTAAATTAGTCTCGGCTATAACTATTATCTTCAACAGAATTAAGCATTTTTTCTTGGTTACGGCCATAGTATTAGTCAATATTAAACTGTGAAAGTTTTCTTGTTCGCGTTTGTCAGTGCTATAGTTCTGACACGACAAAAAGATGAATAAACATATATTTCTCGTTTTCTGTCTCTAATGTCATAAAAAGAAGTAGGACAGAGTTCAATCGAGCTATAGTCATATGGTATACACTTTTTTTCCCTCGCAAGGCATTCGATAACGAAAGGTCATAGAGAGCAGCTGTTTTGACAGGAAAGATTTTTAGCTTGAAAATTTGTGCAAATAGACAAGGAACGATGCCAAACACAATCGTGAAAATAACTGTTCTCTACGACCTTTCGTTATCGAATGCCTTGCGAGGAAAAAAAGTGTATGCTGTATGATCAGTGTCTGGAACCACCGTATCAAGAAAGTCTATAAAATAGCAACAATAATGCAATTGTTCTTACAGGAGACAACTCCATATGCAGTCAAAATAAGAGTGTCGAAGGAGAAAAATGTCAGAATTGCCAGAAATAGTAAAATTTCCAAAAATAATTAGAGAACTTTGTATAAGGGTGATTGTGAGGTCAGATGAGTGAAAGCGATATTATATATTATTAGATACATTCTATCAGAATGTCGAGTCGAAATCCAAATAAACATGTTGCTAAAAAAAATCTAAACGCATGCTAGTTTTATGATCAATTTTCCGAATTTTCTAGTCGAGGCTAGATGCGATTTACATTACTTCTAAATTACTAAATATATTATTTCTCGTTAGTATATCAAATACTGACAAGTTATAACAGATTAGAAATTCAAGATCTTATTCTATATTTTATATTTCATGCTCAATAGATTTGCTATTAACATATTCATGATACCTACATTGCTATTCAATATTGATCAATTATTCTTCATTTAATTTGATTTTAAAATATTTTAATAAAATGATAAATTCCTTAATAACATTGTACTTATTATAGTTTCTTGTATTACTCGATTAATCTATACTGACATAATTAATTTGATCCAATTATGATTTGCTGAAAAAAAATGATTTGCTCGAAAAAGATTTTGTGTTTTTTAAATAAGGCGTGTTTGTGTAACCGCTTATGTTTTTGTTTTTTGTTATAGGCATAATGACATTAGTAATGCAATTATTTCTATATTTGTCTGCTTATCATGCTGGAAAAAAATTACATTGGTCAATGTTAAACAGCGTTCTTCATGCTCCAATGTCATTTTTTGATACGACTCCTCTTGGCCGAATTCTCAATCGTTTTGCAAAAGATATTGATTTAGTTGATTCAGCATTGCCCACTTCATTCGCGTCATCATTAAACACTATGATTTCTGTTATAGCCACAGTGATCATTTTAATCTATGGCTCATATTTTGCTATTATCGCGTTGTTACCATTAGCTGTTCTATTCATATTTATACAGGTACACACCAGAGATAGACGAATATCGAATTTTTTGCCTGAGCATTAAAAACAAAAAGCGATAGATACAATGTAACTTAGGACGTTTTACAAAGATAACTCGAAGTAGCAAAGAATGAATAATCAATCATTCATAAAGATGAACATTTCATTTCTGAATTCTTTCGTGGCTGAACACCACAGAATGTAAATAAGTGGCAAGAGTCAAATAGAAACTACCTCAATAAAGTGTTTGATCTTAGATATGTTTAGCTAAGAAATCAACACCTGTAAAAATGTCCTTGTTGTGCACTCCCTGGTGAATGTACTTGCATGTAGGAGGTACTTGGTCAACTACTGTCCTAAGTTTTGTCCAACGTTCTTGCGCTTTTCTGCAAGTAAGCTAAGTACTTGAGTTACTTTATCTTCTTGTCAAATCATTTTCCTTGCCCAAGTAACCCCCAATTATCTATAGAAGGTTCAACAACTAAATTAAGTACCTGGCAAATGCTTTCAGGCATTTATCGAATAGTATTTTTTGAAAATATTTGGCAAGTGTTTTTCAAGTATCTGTGGAAATTTGCAAGTGCCCACTCCCAAATACATTCACTAGGGCTTTCAATTCATCTCTGCCTTAGAGAACGTACTTGGGGCCAAGTATTTCGTCTGCGTAATGAAGTTGGTACTTCGCTTTTTTCCAGAAGTAAATTTACTTGTAAGTACTTGTCCTTACTTGCCAAGTACTTTCAGAAAGTAATTCTTAGCAATAAGGCAGGTATTTTGATCATTGGCAAGTACTTAGCAAGTAATCAAGTACGTTCTCTAGGGTGATATGTATACTCAAAATCGACAAGATAAATAAACAAAAAAAATTATGAATTACTTATTCAGAGTCTGAGATACATTTTCAGATTTGTTTCATATACTCATAAACTAATTCATTCATTTTTTTCTTTCTTCAGCGTGTCTATGTTGCTTCATCTCGTCAATTACGTCGTCTTGATTCAACTACTCGTTCACCTGTCTATTCAAATTTTGGTGAAACAATTCAAGGTTTATCAAGTATTCGAGCATACAATTCTCAACAACGTTTCATTAGTTTATCTGATGATTTAGTAGACAAAAATCAGTCTTGTTATATAACCAGTTGTGTTGCTAATAGGTATCTATCAAGAGAAATATGAATATTTTCTTAACTCAATTTTTATTCAAATGTTTTATAGATGGTTAGCTATCCGTTTGGAAATTATAGCCAATGTTCTGACATTAGCAACGAGTTTATTTGCTGTTCTAATGAGAGATAAATTATCAGCAGGAACTGTTGGATTAATAATAACGTATGCCATGCAAGTAAGAGAGAATTACAATTAACTGAATATATAATTTTGTTTCTAACGATTGTGATCAACTTTTTTGATAATAACTTAGATAAAAAAAAATGCGTGTTTTGTTTTAGATAACTCACTCGTTAAATTGGTTAGTTCGAATGGCATCTGATATTGAGACAAATATTGTTAGTGTTGAACGTGTTAATGAATATTCACAGCTTGAAAGTGAAGCACCATGGGAAAAACCAGATGTTAAACCGCCACCTCATTGGCCAACCCAAGGTGGAATTCAATTTATTGATTTATCAACACGTTATAGAGGAGGTCTCGATCTCGTTTTAAAAAATATAACAATTGATGTTCAACCAGGAGAAAAGGTAGGGGATTATTTTTAGTTTAAGTTTTTTCTAATGTCTAAATTTACAATCGGATACAACTTTCGATTATCTAGATCTTTCCACTAGACAGGCAAAATTACAAGGACAAGTTCGTGCAAGATATGTGTACTAACTACTGAAGTTTCATTAACAAGACATGAACTAACTCTTACGCAAAAACGTCCCTTTTACTGGAAGCAGAGCAAATTCATTGAGTGTACATAATTCTCTTGATAAAATCGAGAACGGCTTCAGATATCAAAGTCACTTGCAGCCATCTGTTACTCTGACCTTGCTCCATCATCCTTGATTCAAACGTAGTGATCAAATTTTACACCATGAATCGCAAATGTTCTGTCTACTTTAGTCTGTATTCGTCCATGTTTTATAGTATGCGAAGCTTCGAGCAAGTCAAGATCTCGTTGTAAAACAGAATTTCTACTTTCTAACAAATAGTGAGAGGAGATCTAGTGGATAGAAAAAGGGAAGTCATAAGCATTTTCGATTTTTCTTGCCCAAAACAAATTTTTTGCTTGTGTTCGTCTCACTATTTCTCAAAATGTCTACCTTGACGGAAAAACAAAATTTTCTGGATTTTATCAAGAGAATTATGTACACTCAATGAATTCGCTCTGCTTCCAGTAAAAGGGACGTTTTTACGCAAGAGTTAGGTCAAGTCTTTCTAAGGAAACTTCAGTAGTTACTACTACATATATTTTGTACAAAACTTTTCATTGTAATTTCGCATGTCTAGTGGAAAGATCTAGACAATCGAAAATTTCAAATAATAATCGAAAAGTCGAAAATGTAATCACAAAAGTCTAACAATCTCAAAGTCTAATTAGATTTTAAACGTTTACACGTATGTTGTTTTGAAACACAAAGTATCAAAATTCTAGATTGGAATTATTGGTCGTACGGGTTCCGGCAAATCGAGTCTATGTATTACTTTGCTTCGTATTATTGAACGTACTCAAGGTAAAATTATCATCGATAATATCGATATTACTGACATTGGATTACATGATGTCAGATCAAAAATTACCATTATACCGCAAGTAAGAAGACGCCATATCAAAGACAAGCAGTTAGATCGTTTACTTTTGTAATTTTAGGATGCTGTCATATTTGCTGGCACATTACGTTTTAATATGGGTAAGTTGTAGGTTGATGGAACAAAAAAGAGCTATTATTGTTCCATATATTTCAGATCCGTTTGGAACGTATAGTGACGAAGAAATTTGGAATGTGTTAGAATTAGCTCATCTAAAACGTCGTACATTTACAGTAGAAAATGGTTTGCATTATCAGTTGACAGAAGGCGGCGAAAATTTAAGGTAACATCGAAAGAAGAAAAATGAAATTATTTTTTAATTTTTAATGTTTTTTAGTGCCGGTGAAAAACAATTACTTTGTCTCGCACGTGCCCTGTTGCGTAAAAGTAAAATATTTGTACTTGATGAGGCTACTGCTGCGATTGATATGGAAACAGATCGGCTAATACAGCAAACAATGCGTTCAGCATTTAAAAATGCAAGTTTTAACAATTGCACATCGATTACATACGATATTGGATAGTACAAGGTATTTTCCTCGCATTCGCGTTCTAATTTATGATCAAAAGTGTTTTTACTTTGCATTTAGAATTCTTGTGCTTTCAAATGGTTGTATAGAAGAACATGACAAACCAACAGTTTTAGCATCAAATCCAAGATCAACATTTAGTAAATTATTATTGGATGCTGGAATTTCACCAACCCGATTAATACAAAATGACTTTTAAGACTGTTATCCTTTTGTTCCGCCCATTATCTATGTTTTTATGTAATTAGTATCAATCACGCACTAGTATTTTATTTTACTTTCATAAACCAGATAGTTTTAATTTTCTAACATAAAATTTTATCTTGTATTTCTTTTATTCTTTGTGTTAGACATTGACCATTTTTTCAACGATTTGGTTCGTGTACTCTTTACTACAAGCTTTAAGAAAAAATATAACATTTTCGAACCTTCGTCCTGTGGAGCTAGTCTTTCCCCACTCTCTGAGCAACATTGGTAACATCTAGTATCCAAAACCAATGTTATATTCGTAATCAGTATCAAATTCTAAGTCGCACAATATATAATTTCACTTTATTTGAAAATTTTCAATTTTCTTTCGAAATTTCCGTTTAAGAGTCGTTTGCTGTAAGACTCGCAGACTTTGAGAAGTAAAATATCTCAGAGTGAGCTGAATTTTTGTGTAGAAACTAGAGGCTGTCCTCTTTCCAAATATGACCTTAATTTTTCAATTTCACTCATACTCACGGAGTTACTGCTTTTTGTTAAAACAAAAATTAGTGCTTTTCATCAAGACAGATCATTCAAAGACTCATTTCCATTATATGTTGGCTCCCATCTCTTTACCACAAAAACTCTTTCATTATTTCAAGGATATTATTAAATTTTACGGAATGGCTATCGACAGTCCTGAGATGTCAGCAAGAAGCTATTAATATTCCATCAAACTGGCAGCAAAAAACTACTGACAGTCCGAAATGCACTTACACACTGAATAAATGTGTTATTCAAAATGTTATATTGAATTAATTCTGAATTTTACGGTCTATTAGAAGTGGTTTCGGGTAGGTGGGGCAACTATACATGAGAGTGACCCAGTAGAATACTTTCATGCTACGTGGAGATGATGGTCTTCTTTGAATAACACATTTGTGCAGTGTACAAGTCAAGGGGGAAACAGCTGAATTTGATACGTTTTTGAATTTACTTGAATTTAACCGAATTCAGCTGAATTTAAGTGAATTTTGATTGTGGTAATTCGGAAAATAAATGGGGCAATATTTGTTTTTCGGAACAGTTTCAAAAATCTAGTGGAAACCTACATTAGGGGAAATAACCCGTTTTTGCCTATTTTTGAATAATATTAAAAAATTCATAACTCAGTCAAGATCTATCCAAATTATGCCAGAATACCAAGACGTACTCTGTATTACCTGCTTAATACTCTGCAGTTCAATAAAAGCTTTAAAAACCAACAGAAAATACTTTGGTTTTTGAAAAGGTTTTTTAGAAATCTTCCGAAGTACAAAAATGCTTTTTACTATTTGCAAGCAAAAAAATCGTATTGAGCAGGTAAAATAGAGTACATCTTGGTATTCTGCCATAACTTTGATAGATCTTGATTGGATTATGAATCTTTTAATATTACTCAAAAATAGGCAAAAATGACTTATTTCACCTAATATAGGTTTTCACCAGGTTTTTCGAACTGTTTTGAAAAACAAATATTGCCACGATATTCAGCGTGATCGATTACCTATGTTTGCATTTATTTTCGGAACTACCATACCTAAAGAAATATTGATCCTAGGGCTCTCAGGAAATCCGATGCCACGCGTGAAATAGGGAAAATTAAGTTAGAGAGAGAGTTAGCTTAGTTCCCATTTTCGAGAGGACACTTTGGACTATCTATTTATAAAAGCAAACTGATAGATTTTTATCTCATTTTCTGGAGATCCGAAGTGGTTTTCCAAAGATATCCTAGATAACCGGTCTTTCGAACGGCTTCGCGAAGGGATTTCGCTTACGAAAACATAGGCTAAACTGTCTTCTTTCGATTGTTGAAAATTACAAGTCTCTATCTTTTATCGTTTTGGAGTTATTCGTGGAGCCGATAGTAGAAAGGAAAGAAAAATCTAAAGGCTGCTACATGAATGTTCTTCACAGTATTGACTGTTTAATACCCACACCGTTATCATGGTAGATTTCGGAGGTTAACTAGCATCTCTCTCTCTGACTCCCGTTCAATTTAAGTAAAGTTTCCTTGACTTTTTTAGGAATTTACGTGAATTCGGATGAATTTACATGAATTTTAGTGAATTCAGGTGAATTTTGAATTTACTTGAATTTAACGGACTAAATTTAGCTGTTTCCCCCTTGACATTTTGCCTAAAAAAGGGACGAACGAAAGAAAGAAGGCAAAAAATAAAAAACAAAAATCCCAGCAAAAACACAATGTCTGTCGACATACATATTATCAAAGTTATTATCAAAGTATCTCTTGGAATTCTCAATAATTCTCTCTGAGCAGAAATGAGTTTAAAAACAAAATAATATAATAAGAAGTCATTGAGCATATCGTCTCTGTTCCAGTTGTATAACAAATAGATGCAGAAATTCAATTTAGAAAGGTATTGAGTGAAAAGAAAACATACCATTTTTGCTTTTATTTCACTTTCATCAGAATAAGAAACAGAGTGAGTTAAGGTGCCAGCTAGTGAACGCACGGTAGATATGAAAAGTGCACATCTCATTCTTAAAACACTATTTTCTTCTCAATTTTACGTATTTTCAGTCTATCTTATTCATATGACTCATATCCCTTAAACGGTGCAATTTAATTCGTTTCCATTAATTATCCACGAATTCTACGGAAAAATCCTTAAAATATCTTAAGGCTAGTTGTTATAGTAATATTCCTCTTTTCTTCCAATCATTCTCTCCCTTTTCCATCTTACTTGCACCTCTATGATGAATTCTGCTGTCTCTTAAGTGGTTGAATTCCCTTAATCGCTGACCACAGCTACTGCAACGTCGGTTAGCGCATTAAAGCATCTGTGGCGGTAGAAATTGTGGTTAAAAATTTGTCAGAAAGTTTCAGTATAGCGCATGGAGTAAAGGAAATGAAATTCTAATAGTTCACACAAGGGGTCAGAACTAGGCATCCATAAATCTCTACTACTTGCCGTAAAATTTCCAAATTTCATGTCGATAGTAGAGATTTATGCATAAATTTATGGATGCCTAGTTTCGGTTCACAAACGGGTCCGTCAAAACGACTGAAACTTGTTAGATGATTAGCATTTAGTGAAAAATACAATCACACAAAATTTAAAAGCTGTTAGCTATTATGGTTTTTCAGTCACAGTGTGTTCTACTTTTACAGCTACCGTGTGTATCTGACAAACATTGATTTCACATCACAATTGAAAGAATGATCATAAATTTAATATTTGTCCTGATTTCAATTAAGCAACGTCCACTTTCTACGGAATCAGAGTGATCTCATACTGTAGCCAGAAGGAAGCAATTATATGTCATCAGATATGAAAACGATTAGCAAAATTCATTTATTATATCAATGTGGAGAACTTATATCTATGAGAAATAACTAATCTCTTTTCTTTCCAAATATTTAAAAAAGTTAGTGCAAAAAATGTTAACAAAAGTATGAAAAATATGTACACAAGTTTCCTATGGAGAAGCAATATACAAAATAAAATTCTATTTACAGTGAGAGAGTATAAGAGCTACTATGTAGCAAAATAAACTCATAAAATACTAGTATTATTATTTTGTGATGAATACAAATAGTAATGTAAACTTCATCTTGTCATTGGCGATTGTTGAAATTGTTGTAAAATTTTATTGATTTTATCTTGTTGAATTTTTAGTTCGTCTATATATCGATTAAATTCACTATATTTTGCGTTGATCTTACTATGAAATGTTTGAACCCAATCACTTGTTGTACTAGTCATTCCTGTATCACTCTTTACACCTTTTCCTCCGATTGTTTCATTCACTTGACTTTTTGCCATTTTATTTGTGTGAATTAGACCATAACTATCTAAACGTAAATATTGTTTTTCATAATTTGTCGTAGTTTGGATACGTAAATATTTTAATAAAAATTTTTGTATTTTTGATTCATGATAAACTACTTTACGAAAACGATAGATGGATTTGAAAAAATAATTTTTTGGTAATTGTTGTTCAACATCCAATGTTAATTTTACACGCATAGCTAAACGTTTGAGTAATGCTAAACGCATGACACTCGCTATATCATCAACGGCTAAACCGACCAATAAATTCATAATAATAATTGACATTACAATAATGAATATAACGAAGAATAAATATGTAATCGCAAAATAACTTGGATCCTCTCCATGAAACATACCTGAAAAAAATAAAGAATAACATGAACATATTACTAATAAAGTATATCTTCATCAACAACTTATTTCATATATTGTTTCATATAAAAAGAAAAAACTTATAGAAAATAGTTATATTAAGTTATGCTCCCAAAAAGCGTTTTATATATTTAAATGGAGTCTATGCGTGAAAGGCATAAATAAATCTGTTAAACACTGCTACCACTCTAAATAATAGAAACAAACTGTCTAAAAAAATATGAAATCACACAAAATCTTACCTTCATATTCAAATTCACCAATCATCATAACACACGTTTTTATTAAAGAATTACCGAAATAGCGGAATGGATTATGATTTTGTAATAACATATGAAATGCTAATGCAAAGCCAATAATAAACAAAAAGAATACTAGAAAGAATCTTGAAAATGTTTTTAATATGTCAGTTAACATCACGACAAATATTCCAAAACGTGGAAATTTCTGTATAAATAACACAAGAGCAAACCATGAGAGGAATACACCCATTGCACCTAAAATAAACATTTAAAAATATCGTAATTTCATTTAATTATAATTATACCTAATTGCCATTGTACAGAACATCTATAACCAATTTTTCTCGAACATGAATTAAAATCAATTGTAAACACAATAGCTAAGATAAATGCACATAATTCTATGGCATTTTCAAAATTAATATAATCAAGTCGTTCTGATACCATTTGAAATATTTCTTTAATTATCTGTAATGAAGCTAATATAATAACCAACCATTGAAATACATGAATTGCCAAAATACGTGAACGAAGTTCAATAATTTCTGTCGTACGATTTTCCATAATAAACATACATAAACTTTTACAAGATAATTGTTTCATTTGATCATGAGTCGTACCCAAATGATACGGTGCAATAGCCAAAAATACATACGATGTAAGAGCACCAACAAATGATAAATAGAATAAAAAATTTAAATAATAAACATATCTGGCATACATTTTCCATTTATAATCAAGTAAAGAATGAACAATTGGATGATCAAGTAAACGTTCACGATCTTTTTCAACCATTAGCATAATTGGGTGATTTTGTTCTAATTTTTTGCGATCAATTTGTGGATCAAAAACAAATGGATATAATCGTCCATCAGGTTCATAAATTTCTTCTCCTAAAACAATCAAATAATTATATAAGACAAACTTGACAATTATCATTAAACTTACTGTCCTCTTTTTCTTTATCCCATTGGTTATATTGATCATCCAAAAATTCGTACGTATATTCAAACGTATACTCTTTAGCTTGTTGGGTTGTATCTTCTTCGCCATACGATGTTACTGAATCTAGACCTTTTTTTTTTCCCCCTTTCATTTGTTGTTTATCGATAACAGTCACTTGACAACAATTATTTAACACAATCAATGCAATATCAGGCATTTTTCGGATTAACTTTCTTAACGGAGTATCTTTTCGCTGTAATTTTGAATCATATTTCGCATTTCTCATTATTAGACGCCAATCTATACAAAAAAAAAATACGGATAGTTCTATTAGCAATCTTGGAACTGGTAGCAAGAAGCTATTGACAATCCTATCGGACTGACAATAGCAAAAAGGTTATTGACAGCCTCAAAATGTACTCACACACTGCATTGATGTACTGATTTTTCCAGTTGTCTCTTTTTCAGGAAAACGCAGTACTGATGAATCTGTCCTAATAATTTTACAAGAAATCAAGCAATCGATCAATCGGCAACCCATCGAAGTAGTCCGACAAACTCCAAAATTTGATTCAGGGCGACCTTTGAAATAAAAGATTCTAATTTAGAGAAAGATTTTATACGCTGTGGCTCACTCTCAAGTACTGTACCGCCTCCGACTCAACGCATACGTTCACTGTTGGGTTATTAGGTAATTTATTCAGAAATATTGGAATAGATTTACCACTAGTAGATTTTCCAGAAAACGGTGGAAAAAGCGTTTTTCTGTAAAAGAGAAACGACCAGCATATACAAAACCAGTGTACTGCGTGCAAGTGCATTTTGAGACTGTCGATAATCTTTTTGCTATCGCCAGTTTCATAGGACTCTCAACAGGTATTCCAAAAAGGTATTGCACTATTAAATAAAACATGAGCGTGTATATTTGTTACCTTTATGACCAACAAGTGTTTCAGCTGCTAAATATTGATTGTTGAAAATAGCTAAATCGAGACAATTATCACCATCCGACGATCGTTTATCAATTTGAGCACCGTGTTTTAATAATAGTTTAATTATGCTAGAATGACCATTTTTTGCTGCTAAATGCAGTGGTGTTTGTAGATTTTTATCAACAGGATCAATCTGAACAGACAACATCATCATAATACTATATACTATTCAAACATATTTGACGGTATGAATGTACACCCTGTACAAATCGCAATTTTACCTACCGGACTACGATTTTCTAACAGAACTTTGACACTTATATAATGGCCCCGATCGCTCGCACAATGTATTGGCATCCATGATATCATGTTTCTCGCTTGAATATCAACATTTTGTTCAAGTAATAATTTAATTATTTCCGAATGTCCTTCTATAAATAAAGAAGAGCAAAACACTTTATGAAACTATGACACACTCCATCTCACATACCTGTACATGCAATATGTAACGCTAGAATTGAAACCAAATAATAATACTGATATGTTTCTAATGCAAAGTATTATTGTTGTCTACCTGTATTTGATGTATCATCTCGTTCTTCAATAATATTTAATTTATCTCTGGGTGTTGTAAAATTCTCATTCACATATTTAATAATTAATTTGAGAACATCAACTCGACATTTTTTAGCGCATAACATCAATGGAGTATATTCTTCATCTGTTTTCGTTGTTAATTTACCACCATTTTCTAATAATACTTGAACAATTTTAACATTTCCTGATTCAGCAGCAATATGCATCGGAGTTTTATTATATCGATCAACTTCATTGAGCGATAATTTTAAATAATCTTTTGTTGATATTGTTTGAGATCGAGCGAAATTTAATAGTTCCTGAACAACTTCTAAATGATTTTCCATCGATGCTAACCATAGTGCACTTCGTTCACGTTTATCACGATGTGTAAACATATCAGCACCGTATTGTAACAAAAGTTTAACACAGAATGCATGACCACATAATGAGGCTAATAATAATGGTGTGAGACCAGTACGATTTGTTTGATTGACAAAAGCGGAAAAATTATCTTTCTAGAATAAAAAAAAGGATGAAAGTGAGTATAGAATCCGTTCGAGCTTTTAAAAAACTTACCGGAAGAGATAAAACGTATTCCAGTACATGTTCTTTATTATGAGCTGCTGCTTTATGTAAAACATTATCTAACTCATGATCAACATCGTATAAATCTGCTCCAGATTCGACTAATCTTCTCAATATTTCAACACTACCCGTTCGAGCTGCAATATGCACGGATGACTGTCCATCGCCCCGTTTTGCTGAATGATCGCAGCCTTTTGCTAGTAACAGATCGACGAGTTGAAAGTTTGCCGATGTAACAGCCAAATGTAATATCGTATTCTCTTCACCATTTTTAGTAGCAAGGACTTCTTCTAATTTTTCGTTTTGAGGAAATTCATTAAAATACATTGTCATCAATTTAACATAACCTCCGCGACACGCATATGCCAAAGGTATTGTGTCTGCATTATCTTTACATACTGGATTAGCACCATATTCCAACAGTAGTCTAATGATAATAAAATTAAATATCTAAGATATTAGGAAAAAATTAACTCTTAATTTACCTTGCCGTTTCTACATGACCGTAGAAACATGCGCTATGCAATGGAGTCATCTTTGAATGGTCTAATGCCTATTTTTATAAAAAATATTTTAATATAATTAAAATAATTACTAGTATTTAATTCAGTTTTAGAATATTTTACTTCAATATCAGCACCCTCTTTGAGTAATAACTCAGCCCAACGATAATTATTTCTTTCACAAGCATAGTGTAACGGTGTCGAAAAATAATCATCTCGTGCATTGACATCAGCATGTTTTTTAATTAAATATTTAATTAATTCACCATATGAATCATTCTAAAACAAGATAGAAATCGTTTAAATTCAGACTATTAAATGGAACTGTTGAAGTTCAAGTACCTGATTATCTTTCTCCAGTTTAAATCGAACGGCCCAATGTAAGGGTGTTGTGCCGTCTTCTCCAGTTCTATTGACATCTAGATATAAATTTATAATAAGAATTAGTTCTATTTGAACAAGTTCATCATAGCATAAAATGTCAAAAGTATTATATTCAACTATAGTCGATCTACTTCTATATAAAATATCAAAATTATTAATTGAATCAGGCTTACCTACTTCACAATGGTCGAGTAAATATTTGCATACTTCATAATGATAAAATCTGGCAGCATAGTGTAAAGCCGTTAATTTTGCTTCATCATGATCATTAAAAAATACTTTACGATTATTATAGTTATCTCTCCGTAACAATCTTATCTGTTCAATATTTCCATCTTTAGCAGCCTAGAGAAAAAGAGAAGAAAAAATGATTAGAATATATATTTTGATGTTAAAGATTTATTATTACCTGGAATAGATCAACTTTAGCGTAACTTGATACTTGTCTATTTAATAATGTGCCACTGTTCTTTCGTTGAATATCTTTTTTGTTTTGAAAATGATGTTGTCCGTTTAATTGATCTTTACCGATTTCATAATTATTAATCGACGTTTCTTGTGTTGGAATTAATTGATATTCATATTCATTTAAGGGAAAATGAATATGAATCGAGTCAGTAGCGCCTGGAACATCACTTTTGCCAACAATTGCCCGTATTGACTTAGATTTAGACATTGTTGACAACGTAGGAATAAATAAATATTCTAGCAAAAAAAGAATAAAATAAAATTTTATCGTCTTGAATGAATATCTTTTCTTTCTCTTAGTCTATAATGAATGCATTTGTGGAAAGACACTTTTCAGTTTATGTCGAAAAACACAACTGTTTGTCTACTCATTTCTCGTTCTGTCTTTCTTGGTACGAGCATACATTCACAATACAGAGGGTCAAATCGATAATTCAGTATCCCTTTTCATTTCTTCTGTTACTTATTAAAAAGAATAAGAAATGTAGTAAAAGAATGCGTTTGTAAACTAACGGTTCTTTCCGAACTGAGATCACTTTTTCCCGCTCAATCTCACTCTCTGCTTCCCGCCCTCTGATGTTTGTTTGATGTCAAATAAGACTTAACGACACAATTAAGACATTTTATCAGAAAAGTGGTCTCAATTCGGAAGCCTCGAAACTAACATATTTATTATCATTTTTGAATAGCCAACTCTTTTAACTTTTGTATGTATATATATTTACAAATACGTTACTTTTATTGTCATATTGTTCAGGCTTTGTGTCGTCGTGGAAAGTGCGAGATACGCTCGAATACTTAATTTATTTCCTGATTCAACATATTATATTTTATCATCAGACAGATTTAACATTCACAACTTTAAGGCATTCATGTGCGGTTTTTTTCGTTCTTTCCTTTCGTAGTTATACTGAATATGAATAAGCAAACGTCTTCTATGCTAATACTTGAACGTGAAGTACCGGCAATGCAAAATTTCAGCAGAAATTTCTTTTTGAGAAATGTGTACATGGTTGGGTAGAGCACATCGAGCTGAGTAAGACATCGAGGGTGGAATATTAAAGAGTCGGAAATAGGTGAAGTTATAACCCGATTCATTTATAAATAGTGATTTATAACTATTTTAACTTTTGATCGAAAATTTAAAATAGTTATAAATCTAGACGCGATTTATAAATCGGAATCCGATTTATAAACTCGAAACTGATTTATAAATCCGAAACTAGTTTATAACTGTTTTAACTTTTTACCGATTTCGATCGACTTTTAACTTTTGAAAAATCATTTCGGACTCTTCAGTGGGTTGGAGTCATGGCTCCACTCTCGATCAAACATCATTCTCATACTCCGTCTTTGATACTGAATGTGAAAAAAATCACACGAATCACTAGAAGAGCGAAGAAGAAAAAAATTAGATTTTTATTGAAACTAAAGGGTTTCTTCGAAATTTTAAACCCTTAAAAAATTAAATTTTCTTGCTTAAAAATTTTTTAAAAACTACTTTTCTTACTTAGCTCGATGCGGTCTACCCAACCATGCATACATATCTGCAAAAGAAATTTCTGCTGAAATTCTGCATTGCCGGCACCTTACACGCATAAACATTTGTTCGATGAGGTACGTGTAAAATATTTCTTTTTTTTTCAAAAGTAATAAGGAGAACAAATTTGTTCACGTCAATTGAAAAAAAAACGAAACAAAGAAAGAAAGAAAGAAAAAATTGTATCTAGCCGATGAAAGGTGCGGCAGATGTATGAATATGCACAGTTATAGTCAAATATGGATTATTTACATCTTTTTCGAAATATCATTTACAAATATACAATAATTACGATTAAGATCAAATAAACGGAGGATACACCTTTCTTCATACATATGTGGAAAGGTGCACTTTACAGTGTACGATATCGTCTACTCATTACTTCTATATTTGTCTGTATAAGTTAAATTGTAAAGTTTGCTTAAAAGCTTCCTGTGAGTAGGTTTTGTTTTCAACAGGTCATACCGTAGATAAATATTTTGCCATTTAGTAAATTATATAGTAGAAGGTGAAAGAAACATAAACGTATTATTCTCAGAATCAAATAGCAAGTTCTGCGCATGATTAGAGCATACGATTGACATCACTACGAGACATAAAAAATCTTATTCATTGTAGGAAACATAAAGTTCCAATGAGAGGCATAGCAATGGGAAGCATAGCAGTCGTTTTTTTAATAGCGGACATCAGAATTAGCTGATTTTTCAAAAGTGTTTATGAACTGAGAAAAATAGATTTTACTTGGTCAGAGTTTCCAAAATAAAACCTATTTTTTTGGAAACCTTACAGTGAGAGTTAAGAAAAGAGTTGCATTAAATTGCATGTACTATAGATGTGTTGTATATAGACGAGCATTTTATCAACGTTTGGCGATGCCTAGAGCCCAGAAAAATTCTGGAAACTCCTTATACTGATTACACACCTGCGTTTTGGTTTGAGATTTGATTGGTTTTATGGAAAACTTATTTTAGGGCGTCCCAATTAGAGATGTGCACGGGTACCATTTTCGTATCCGTACCCGATCCGTATCCGACTTGTGCCTAAAAATTTTCTCTTTTTTGTTTTCCGGCTAAAAACTTTTGTTTTTCGGCTGAAGATGTCAAATTATCATTGCGTTCTCAAGTAATTCTTTTTTAAACCTTGGAGTATTTTAGCTAAACACTATTTTTCACCAAAATTTTGTAGACTTCCGGTTTTTGGGTAAATTAAAAAAAATAGAACCCGTACCCGACAGCTTCGTACCCGTACTCGATAACTTCGCACCCATAGTCGGATATGGGTCGGGTTGCACATCTTTAGCCCCAATGTATTTTCAACGCTTGCTCCAAAAAGAGATAATAACAACAAAGGCTGCGGCGAGTAGATGAGAATGTGTCACAAAAACTTATAATCTCTTTTGGAAGTGAGCCGTTTTTCAGGCTAATTTCTGCGTAAGTATTTTCTCATGTAGACATGCACCGGTTACGGTGAACCGTAACCGTACAGAACCGGTTTATAACGGCAATATCGCTTAATATGTTCGAAAAATGTTAGTACTTTAATATTTGTTTAGATTAGATGTAGACAAGGAGGGGGTACAGTAAATTAGCTGCTTGGTAACTAACTTCACTAATAGACTCACACTTGTTAATATTTACCTGTGATTGTTCCTAAATCTGGATTATGTATTTAAAAAAAAAATCTCCACATACGACACAAAAAGGTTTCATAGTATTAGCTATTAAAAATCACAAAAATCTAATCCTCAATCTAACAAATGACAAAATGACTGTTCAATTTTTTTTTGCTCATAATGTTGTAGACGAGAGAAATAACAAAACAATTACAATCAGAAAAAGAGTTAACTTTTAAGCGCTATTGCTGTTATAAGGTGGTTACTGTAACCGTTGCATGCCTATTCGCATGAACCTTAATAGTTAGAACAAAACTTTTTCGAGAATATGTGGCTCATATCTTTAGATACAGTTTTCTATACTCAGATTGGAAAACAGAGCACGTTCATCTTTTCGCTAAATATCGCTTGGATACAGACTGTAAGAGAAAGACTAGAGACACACACGCACTCTTCGCTGAAAATAACAAAAACTTTTGGACTTTTAGCCAAACGTTTTTGATTTTCGGTCGGCTACTCTAAAATCTACTGAACCGAAAAGTAATCGTGAAGCATGGATTAGAAGACATTTTAACTGTTAGACAATACTTTTAGACATGTCATGTCGAGAGTATGACTTATATTTCAATTAGGTTATACATCCATGTATATAGCAATTTTTGTATTCCACAGATCTGAAGAGGCAATTTAGTCCATTATCTGTCGACAAGATAAAAACTATGTGTCTTGCCTTGTTAATTCGCATGGGAATGTTTCTTTATCTGTAGATCATCTCACTTCTTGACGTATCGATACGTATAGAAAAAAACGACAAAAATCATCCCGTTCAGGATATTTTTTATACTCTCGGATACCTTGTAACAAATGATTCAATACTTATTTAAATTGTCAGGATTTGTTGTTATGTATCTGTAATACAATCATCAATAGTTTTCAATTAAATATTAAATGATAAATATATGTGTAAAACGTGATAAAGTATAAATTAATCGTCTGAAACTTATTCAACCAAAACGACATTACATTCTGATTACAAAACGGCGAAACGAATATATCTAGATGTACCAATTGTTTATTTTTTCATTTTTATAGGAAACTTTAGTTTTTTACGTAATACACAAAAAAAAGTCAGAGTTTCTCTAAAGATGGGTAGCGTTAGTTTTGCATTGTTTTAAGACATTAGTCAATATCTTGTTAATAATTTATGAAAGACAAATGCTACCTTTAAGGTATCTAAACTTTGAATTCAAATCAGTTCAAGTCGAATCTAAAGAAGAAAAAAAAATCATTCATGACCTAAACGTGTTAAAAAATAAAAAGTATTTTGCATAAAAATGCGTGATAGTCGTTAAATTGGAGTAAATTAGCAATGTAAAAGTGTTGAACAACACTGAAAATAGTTAGTTTGTCCTGGAAGACAACTTAAAATTGTGAACGATACTAACATTTACAACGTAAAATTGTGAGTTAGACGAACTAGATTCTAATAAAAAGTTAGTATACGATTTTCTCGTCAGTCATCGCTTCATTTTATTAATTTTTTCAACACATTTTTGATATACAAATAGTTTAGTGTTATTTAACTAACAGAGCAATAGAGAAGAAAGATTAATCACACTATACGAAAAATAAATAAAAATAAACGTTTGCACAATGTATTGGCATCCATGATATCATGTTTCTCGCTTGAATATCAACATTTTGTTCAAGTAATAATTTAATTATTTCCGAATGTCCTTCTATAAATAAAGAAGAGCAAAACACTTTATGAAACTATGACACACTCCATCTCACATACCTGTACATGCAATATGTAACGCTAGAATTGAAACCAAATAATAATACTGATATGTTTCTAATGCAAAGTATTATTGTTGTCTACCTGTATTTGATGTATCATCTCGTTCTTCAATAATATTTAATTTATCTCTGGGTGTTGTAAAATTCTCATTCACATATTTAATAATTAATTTGAGAACATCAACTCGACATTTTTTAGCGCATAACATCAATGGAGTATATTCTTCATCTGTTTTCGCTGTTAATTTACCACCATTTTCTAATAATACTTGAACAATTTCAACATTTCCTGATTCATTACATACCATTCATAGTTTCAAGAAATTATTCCAACGTTCAACAAATTTTGTTCAATATAAATAATTTTAAAATTTATTCAAATTCAATTTTTCTACCAATATCATGCCCTAAAGACGAGAGTAATGCCAATGATTGTATGATCTAGTTTTTGAATGTATTGCCATATTTCATCATCGTTTTGATTATATATAGAACGTGTATGTAGAAAACATTTTATCTAAAATTAAAATGAGAAATCATTTAAGAGTAGATAGAAATAGTTTTTCAAAGGATACTTACCATCATAATAAAAAATTTAGATGATAACACAAGCAAACTTTTTGTATCACATAAATAAAGATGATAACTGTTCACCGTATTGTTCAGATTTACACGAATCGAATGAGTCAACTAAAATAGTAACCAGTTGAAAATCATTGTGTTACCTAGAAAAATCATGAAAATTAATAATACAGTTTAGAACGAGACGCTTCAGTTTTTGCAATTTTACTATAGATACATTTCTAATGAATGTTCAGTTTGGTGTTGATCTTCTTTGTCTATAAGCAAAAATAAACTCGTTTTATTCGGTATCAACGATCATTATGAAACAATTTTGACATTATAAAATAGTGTTCTTAATGACTATGATTTATTAATGAACAGGAATTTAATCTATAATAATGCCAAGTCAAAATTAGTTGGATCAATTCGCTTAATAGGCATAAGTGTCAGTAGCAATGTGAAACTCATCATAAAGCAAGTCTGTAGATCATACATATAATCGACCGATGTAAAAGAGATATTTGAAAATGAACAGTGCGATTCGCTAAGCTATCAAATATTTCTATATATTCCTATTCCTATTTTCTTCTATAGATATAAATAATAAAACATCCAACCACTAATAGACACTGAGTTCTGATTTTATTCCATATAAAACTTTTTACATGGTTTTTTTTCATTTTTATCCATAAAAAAATAGATTGTAGCTTGTTTCTATAGACAAAGAAGAGAAGAAGAAGACAAGAAGAAGAAAAACAACCAATAACAGCAGCAATTGGTAAACAACAAAAAGAAAAGAAAAAAACAACTGGATTTCTTTTGTATTACACCTAAGAAACGAAATGTTGAATGTTTTATAAGAGAAAAGATAGTAAAATACTTATACACACATACACACGCACGCAATACGCGGCTAGTATCATTCATAATTTAGAAAGTTTCGCGAGACTGCTTTATTTAATTTCATACATGCAACAGACAAATAAAACGACGTTGAACTTGTCTATGGGTGAATGGGTGTGTGTGTGTGTGTGGGCATTCTAGATTAAACACATCAAAAAGAATCTGTCGATAAGATCAATTTGACTACACAAATAAAGAAATGACACATCTATTACACGTGTCACAATAATACAGCACAGATAACAGACGAAAAGAGTAGACAGATAATGATGTTTAAGTACAAATTGTTTATGAAAAAACGAAATTTATTTACATATATCGATGTTGAACCAAAAACAAAAATTTATTTTCCTTTAAGAATATAGATACGAAAACATAGGCATGTGAGGAAAAAATCAATAAAACAGTTAACACAGATAATAAAATAAAACAGCCTTTGGAGTGCAACAAACAGTGAGATTGTTGTTTTGGGCATTGCGATGCGTGGATAATGTTTTTTATATCAGAAAAAGTAGAGAGAATAGTACGTCAAAAAAATCTTTAAATAAACGATAAATTCACATTTTAGCATAGGATTTCATCCAATACATAATCCTAAAAACAAAATATAAAGTGAAATTTAATGATAAACAGAGTACAGACTATGCATACCAATTTTTCATGACGATAAATTCTCATTTTCATTCTGGGTTGGTGATTTTTCTGAAACATTTTTTATTTCTGCATCATTCTCATCTTCGCTGGTTGTATCTGAAGAATGATAGACATCATTTTCCTTTCCACTTTCTTCAGAAGCGATTTCATCATCATTGGCTTGTTCAGATGATGATGTGGATTTTTCTATGCGAACTCTTCTTGGTTTATATACAAATGGCTTAGCATCAGATTTACGAAGCCTTTTTGACGAACGACGCTGAACTCCTTCATCTTCTTCAATAGTTTGTTCATCAGCTGCTGCTTCTTCTTCTTCTTCGTCTTCTTCTTCTTCATCACTTATTTCACGTTTCTTTCGACGAGATCGTGTAGATCTACCAGTGTATGATACATCGTCATCATCATCATCATCATCACCATCATCATCATCATCAGTATTATTTGCACGTTTTCGACCTAAAATAAAATATTATCTTTAAAACATGTAAACAGAAAAAGACTTATAAGTTTTATACCTCGTTGTAATTTTCTTTTATCAATTTTTTTCGATTGTCTTCGGTTTCTTAAACGAATTGATCGTCTGTCGTCACTTACACCACCACTACCCGTTCGACATGTATTACAAACCCAATTAGATGATCTTGGAGGATGACGCAATGCTGGTTCATGGCATTGACAATGATAACGCGATTTGCCTATTTAAAAAAATTTGAGTAAAAATCTCTAGTAAAATTACTACAAAACAAAACCCAAATTCTCAAACAAAACAACAGTGATTGAACGTATTCAATAAAAACATTCCGTGATGAAAAAAAGTTGTTTTTTTTCGCTAAAAATGAAATTTCAATCTAGACGTGTATATGTATGTCTACAACTCCTCATGGATCGTCCAAAGCAATAAAAAAAGATTTTCAGATTTTCGATGTGTTAATTAATTAAACTTACATTGACTGCATTGAACCAATTCATTATCCTCATCTGCTTCATAACCACAAACACGGCAGCACGCATCATTTTCATCAATATCCATTTCAGAATCATCGTCATTAAATTCATTACCATTTTCTTCTCCCACCGACATATTATCATATGCTACATCCTGATTATTATTTGATAACACATCATCTTCTTCGTTATCAACATCCACCACACTAAAACAATAAAAAATCAACTATTATATAAAGTATAACAATTTTTAATAAACAAAATATTTTAACTTACTCATCATTATAAATATCACCATTATAATAATGAATTTTTTTGTTTCCACCACGTTGTGGACGTGTACGACGTTTAGAAGTTGGTTGTGGTCGACATGCAGGACAATACCAAAGATCGGCAGATGATGAAGAAAATTTTGAATCAATACTAAAATCTCTTAAACACTCAATATGATAGCCATGACAACATTGATCACATAATAAAATATTATCATCTTTATTCTTCTTTCGACAAACTTTACATTTCTAGAAAGAATATAGTCAATTTAAGAAAAAGTAAAGTAGAATATCACTGACTAACTAAATAAATGACTGTTCTTTTAGTAGTAACCCGAATCAGTTTAGTCTAGTAGTGATACAATCTAACGTCAGAAATTTCCGCATATACCATCATATAAAAAACTGACAATCTTAACAGAATTATTTGATTACTTACCACACCAATGGTTGATTTTTCCCATGCAATTGCTGTTTCGAATATCGTCATTAACACATGTAATCTTGAATATGTTTTACATGTTTTAACATCATTAATCCATGTTTGTAATGCATGCGCTGACGATTGAACATAATTTAATTTTGATTTCTTTTTATTTTTACCTGAATGTATTTGTTGTTGTCGACGTTTTTCACGATTACCAAATATACCGGTCGCATATTTTTCTACAACTGTTTGTTGTAATTGTATTAATAAATCACCTAATTCTTGTCGATTTGTTGTATTTAACAATTTTTCATGCCATTCATCATAATTATCAGTAACTATAAAACCACCCAAACTACCTAATCTTAATCGATTTTCAATTTCTTCAAGATCACTTTTAAATCCATTGATGATATCAAATTGTTCAGTTGAAAAATCTTTTTCCGTTATTTGGCTACTAGTAGATTCAGTATCACCTGCTATTGTCTCAGTGGATGTTGATGGTTGTGGTTGACCAGACAGTGTTTCATCAATACTTTTTTGTTGTTTTTTTCCTAATTGTTCAAATTCAGATTTAATAAATGGTAAACATTTTTTTAGATTTATTAATAATTCTTGTTCACGAATACCACGATCGTGTAAACTTTGTATCAATTGTTCAATTGTTTTCTCATCATTATATGTATACCATCGATTTTGATCAAATTTTGGAATGCATTTTTCATTCGATTGATTTTTTATGCAATCATCATTGTCTGCCGTATATGAGGAAGAAGATGTTTGACTGTTGGATATTGGTTGATGATGTTGGACATTATAATCAATATTGGAACTAATCCAACCTAGATTAAACAGAGAGTCATGCAATCATCATGGACATTAAAAAGCAAGAAAATAAATTCTTACCCGATTCAACAAAAATTCCAGCATAACCTTTAAAGTACCAATATCGATTACAATTACGATCGTAGCCGAGTGGTTTAATACGCAGACCTAGATGAACATTTTTCAGTGCTTCCTAAATTTAAAAACAGTTATTTTAGCTAAAGAACACAAATGGTGCATAAATATGAATAAACGAAGTTTTCTTCGTAACTGAAAATTTGAAAGTTAAAAAACACGAACTCCGACGAAAACGTGATTTTAACACTTTTTTCGCTATTTTCTTGTCTTTAAACCTTTCAAACAGAACAATGTAAGGCGCTCGCGATCGTTTCATGTTGCGATGAAAAATGCGCTTATCAAGACGAGATATACCAGAGTTCTGTAAGACTCTTGGTTACAGAGATATTGCGAAAATATTCAATATCACTCTTAAAAAAGTTTCGTCTTTTTAAACACTGGATGTTGATATATCTTCATAATCAAGAGCCCTTGGGAATTCTGACACGTTTCGTATTGTTAAGCACATTTTTCGTCATAAACTGAAACTATCGTGAGCTCTTAGTGTTCTTTTGAAAAGATTTAAAGACGCAAACATAGCGAAAAAACGTGTTGGAATCATATTTTCGGTCACGTTACGTAGAGTGGTCGATGTATTTATACTCTCTGGTTTCTTAAATAGCCGATGTTTCTAATATATTAACGTTCCTAGATCTAATGTGTATTTTTACCTGGTAAGCAAGATCTGCTCGTTGTATATTTGCATCTCGTTTTTGATCATTATATAATTTTTGTGCTTCAATTTCTTTCTTTTCTTTTAACTCTTTTGATTCTTGTACTTTTTGTCGTCGACGTTGTGATATACTTTTGAGATCATCATCATCTTCGATACCAGTCATTTCATCAATTGCTGTTGTCGATGTTATCGGTGTTATTATTCCATTTTGTTGATTTTCATCGTTATTTTGACTAGTTTTAACTGGTAAAGATTTGAATTTTTTCGATTTTGAACTTGTTTTATGTTCACCATTTTGTAACTGTAATTTTTTTAATTTATTTTCTTCTTCAATTTGTTTTCGTTTTTCACCTACTAATTTTGTTCGTTCTTTTAATGTCTCTGTCATTTGTCGATGTAAATAATCAAAATAATCGTTCATTAGATCATTATCATTAATAATTATATTAATTAATAATAATAAGAGATCAATTTGTTCATTTATCGAAAATTGATTATATTCATCAGACTACAATATTAAAAAATATTTATTTCTTGATAGAACAGATATATATATATATAAGTCTTTCTCTACTCACCGTTAATTTATCGATTATAATTCGATGTTGGTGATTTTTTTCTTTTAATAAATATAAACGCGTTAATTCTTGACATGTAAATAAATTTAATGTTATATCGGTTATAGATATGGAATAATTATGTTGTAGTTCATCATTTGTTAATACTGTATTTGATGTTATTGCTTCGTTACTATCATCATTTTTCTCTGAACCATTATGTTCAATTTGTAGTTCTTCTGTATCATTGTCATTCTCATCTGAATAACTTTTTTTTTCATCTTCTTTGAACAATAATTTCATTAATATTAAACATAATTCATTGAAATAATTAAAAAATATTCCTGTAGTGTTTGTTTTATAGGCATTCAATAGATAATCGTGTTTAAATGTTTTTAAAAATATTTGTGTTGATTTGGATAAATCATGTTTTGTTGTCTGATTCGTTGTTAATGTTGATATAAATAAACCATGACAAGATGTAAAAAATGTACAAATCATTAATAAATGACCAACATAGTTACTGTTATCAATATCTAATAGAATTGGTGGTGGTAATGCTTTCATTATAGGTAATAAATCTAAATCTTCACATGGTTGTTGTTCTTTTATACGTTGTTTTTGTTTCTCTTGTAAATATAAACGTCGATCGTGTTCATTCATTTGAGATAATTGTTTTTTTTCTTCTAAATATTCATATTTAGCTTGAATTAATAAACGATATTCATCTGGTAAACGTTGACGTTGTTTATCGGTTAAAGTACGAGCACAATGTAACGTTAAACGTTGAAATAATTTTGATTGTAAACCTTTTTCTTTTTTTGTTCTATCTAAACGCTGTAAAATTGCCAGTGGTACTATAACTTGATGTGCATGTGGTGTAGGAATACTTTTTAATAATTTTTGACTAGATGATGGAGATGTACTAGAATTTTTTGTAAATTTCATATCGGTCAACGTTAATTGTTTAGCATTAGATGATAATTTTTTGTTTTTACTAGTTGATGATGAACGTTGATCTTTTTTAGAATGTTTGGACGAAGACGACGATGGTTGAACTTTGTTAGTAGAGGTTGATGATTTTTTCTTCAGTGAAGGTGATCTTGATTTTGAAGAATATTGGTTTGGATGTGGTTGTTTAGTTGGAGACGTCATTTGTGCAACTAATTTTGATAATGGTACAGATTCATCTTCATCATCATCGGATTCATGAAGAACAATGTGATTATTTTCATCATAAGACCAACCATTGCGTGATGGTGCTAAAATAAATAAGTCAATTTTTCTTGTTTTTTTTTTTTACTTCTTCAGAATGATGACAGTGAGAAACTAATAAAATGATCATGTTAACATTGTTGGAATCAATTAAAACTGATAATTAATAGTTAAATATTATTCTAATGTGTTAATTCCATCAGAAATAAAACTAAAAAAAACTATCTTTCTTTCATCCATTTTTCCCTAAGATTAACTAAAACTAACTAATGCATTTTACTCACCATGGAGGAGACATGGTTCAATTCGAAAATGTTTTAAAAGTTCATTTTTGAGAAAGACTGAAATATGAGGGTCCGTCATAAAGTCGAGTAATACAAAAACGTGAAGAGTAATCTCTAGATCAAAATTATCAATCAGATTTAGTACTATAGTTTTTGATAATTATATTTGAGTATATATTATTTTATCACTTAACAAATGTTGAAGTGTAGCATTTCAGTTTCAACTACCCAGTGATATATACGTACTCGCTTTACTATTTGCCGTTGTTGTTGTTGTTGCTGACGCTCCTTCATTGTCTGCTTCTTCAGTTTGCTTCCGTCGAATTCTTTCTTGTTCTCTTAAAATTTCCTATATTAAAACAAAAAAGTAAAATCTTAGGTTAAATGAAAATATTTTTATATCATGAATTCTATTTACTTCTAATGTAATTGATAATTCTTTTTTGAATTTTTGAATAACATTATCTGATATACGATCTTTTACTTGATATTTTTGTTTAATATTATTATCAAATAATATCCATGGACTATCAATACGATTTCCCAAACGTATTGCATACGAACGTATAAACGTTTTCAATTTTTCTCGATTTGGTATTGGTGTTGGACGTCTAAAGTAAAAACAATTAAAAATTTTACTCTCACTTATACTATTTTTTTTGTTTTTTTACTTACTGTAAATCTGTCGGTATCACATTCGTTATTATTTTATCATCATTCAGTAAACGTATTGAATATTTGAAATTTTTTACAATCTATCAAAAATAATAGAATAAAAATAAAAAAAGTCTATATTGTCTTATAATTTATACATACTTTTTCTGGAGTCGATTTTGGTTGCGTAGGTGTAGACTTTCGTTCTGATGATCTTTTTAAATGTTCATCGGTTGTACTACCATTCGTTTCACTGAGTTCTTGAATTTTTTCTACTATTCCTTTGACACTAAATAATTTTAAGAACAAATAAATACAGAATGTTTTATACTGTTATCTCTCATACACAACATACGTTTGTGAATCTTTTTTCTTTCGAAATTGTACAGTTTCACCCACAACATAACCGGATCCAATTGAAAGTGAGACTTCTTCAGCTAATTTTTCTAACGGTTTTACATCTACAGTGGAGAAAGATAGACAGTTGAATACAAATATACCATCTAAGAATGAACTTACTATGATGTACAATATCCAGAATAATTTTATTGTAATAACTTGGCACAAGTGTGGGTAATGATTTTCGTACATCATTTTCAGACTCACACGCTTCTTCATGTGTTAAACACGGACGCCACGTGCATTCACAGGTCCATCGCGGTAATTCATAGACTGTTTTCAATTTTTCATAAAATCTTTTATGAAAAATGAGTTAAGGATATGATCAAAAAACAAACGTTTCTTCTAACGAAGCGGCCTTAAATCTTCGTAAGCGGGCTAACAGCTAATTTATCGTCAGAAACATACTCAAAAGACTAAATCTAACTAGTCCAGGAAAAACATGTGCTGTCTTTACGACACTGCCAATCTCAAAATGAACGATCACTGTTAACATTTTTTCAGCGTCTTTTAAGAACAGTCACCTAGAATGTATGAACGATTAATGAGATTTGCGTTCTAGATCAATTAATAAAAGGATACTTGACATTCTTAAATCTTTCATTTGTATGTTCAATTACGTATTGTCCATCAGTACACAATTCTTGCAATTCAGTTGATGTTAAATGAAACAATCGGCGGCCAAACAAAGGCATAGGAAATAAAATTTTAAATTGAAAAATAAAACGAAAAAAAAAACAAAAATAACAAAGTTGTCTGTTTCTGTTTTTATCTCTTTCAAATCACTGTTTTGAATGAATACATCATATCTAATATCTAAAACAACAGAAAAAGAGAAAATATTTATATAAAATATTAAAGAAAACAATTGAGTCAACTGACAGAAATTAGCATTTACGGTATCTGGCAAAAAAATTACCATTTAAATCAAAATAATAGAAATTAGCGTACTGTTTTCAACTGTTTAAGGAGCTACTTTATCCTAGAAGATTCTTCCAAACGAGTTCTAATTCTAGCAATAAGAAAGTTAAAGTCGTCAGACATAAATGAACAAGACAAAATTGCATCTTCTTTCTGATTTATTTTGTTTCTTGTTCACAAAAAAAGACGTAAACATAAAGCAAGCATACCAAAAGAACAAACACACAATAATTATATTAAGAGTGTTTTTTTTTTCTCCATCCATATTCTAAATATTTAGATAAACAACAGCAAAAAAAAAGAAATTTTAGCTTACATGCACATCAAAACATCAAAAACTATTACATATTTTTAAACTCTAGACTAATACATATTTGCGCATACCGAGAAAAAGTTTCTTCGCTTTTTCTCTCTCTTTAGCCCAAAAAATGAATAGAATAATTATTCCCTTTTCCCAAAAACAAAAACACACGCATAAAATTGGAGAAAAAAAACAGAAAGAAATTTTTTTTTTAATTACTAAACACTGGTTCGAATCCATTCAGAAAAAACCTGTTTAGAGGTTCATTTTACCCAAAAGAAATTTTTAAAATCTGCTAGCCTAAACTTCAAAAGCAGACAGCAAGAACAAGACAAAAACACTGTTTTTTTTTGTTGTTGTATTTCATTTTTTTTCTTCTTAGAACTAAAACTAAACTGTTTGAACCGGTAAAATACAAAAAAAAAAATACTCGTTATTTTTTTAAATAGAAAATAATTTTCTATACGAATCAAAATTAGAAGACGACAAAAAAAACAATCAAACGTGTCAGTACAAAATGGAAACAAAACTAATACTAACATTTATCACTCTGCCAAGCATCTGTTCTCTCAAACGCGCGTCAATCAATAAATAAGTAGTTACAGTAACTCATTAAAATATATATAAAAGTACATACAATAAAAGAATAAGATTTCACTTTCATCTACTGTCCATCATACAAGAAAGATTAAAGTCACCATCATCTTTCATTTTTCTCACTCGGTTTAAAAGAATTCAAATAAAAAAAGAAGCAAGAAAACAACATGAAGAGAACCACCGGAAATGGAAAAATAGAAAAAGCGAGAGAGACAGAGATGAATTTTATGAACGTGTGTGTGTAAATGAATTTCGATACTCTATCATATACAATACGTTGTTTTTGCCATAAGCATCAAAAATATTCCGACCCGCGAAAAAAAAAACACTACAAAGAACAATAAATACTAAACAATTCTTTTTTAAGACATGGACAAGTCTTGTTCAGAATTATCGTAGAAAAAAATAGCAAGATGAATTTGTCTAGAGGAAGAGAGTATGAAGGTTGTATATAAGCTAAGCTAAACATGTATAAATATGAAATGTGTGGAACAAGTAAAAAAACCGTAACATATGTTTCACGCCGTGCCCATTTGTTATCCTTCTTTTTCGTTACTAAATCGAAACTTCATAATGTTCAGCGAAAGAAGAAAAGAAGCACAAAAAAATGAAGATCAGTTGTTCAAATAAAACTAATTTTTTTCCTTCATATTACCGCCCCCACTATCACCAGACTTGTCTGGAGTTGTTGGTGGCGTTTGTACAGATGTTTTCTCAACGGAAGGCGGAGATATACCGGTAGAGGACGAATCAGCAGGAAAAAAAGCTGTTCTATTTTGTTGACGAAGTGATTGCGCTTCTTGAGTTGATTTTTGTTGTTGATCATTATTATCAGCGGCCGATGATGCTATTGGACCACCGAGTGTTGACCGTTCACTTTCCATTGACGAGATAAAATCACTAATATTGTCTCGAAAACGACCCCAAGCCTTTTCAGGTATTGTAACAGCAGTTCGAAACCCAGGTTTCACCTAAAAAAGCAGAATCGAATATGATCGAACTAGTTTACACTAAACTATTGAAAAAAGAAAAACGAAAATATATGTTTATTACGTCTCATTCAATAATTTATCTGAAAATGGCTGAAAAATTTTACATTACCTCTGATATACGTAAAAATACACCTCGATTATTTGAGCCAACATCAAAATAAAAGTTTTTATTGCCAGCACGTAAATATTTTGATTCTGGCAACTCAGCTGGTTCTAAATGAAAGAAAAATACAGACCAAATAAATATGAAGAATATAATAATAATACGAGCAACTGAGTTACCTTTTAAGTATATAGCAATACTAAAGCAGTTATAAGCAGATTATAGAACGTCTTTATTTCTTTTACAGAAAACGTTAGCAGTATAAGCATATAATGATGACATTAAAACTCTCCTCATGTGTTTTTCAGATTTACAATTAAAGATATTTGTTCTTTGCTCATCAATATCAGTAATACTAAACTGATAATGATTCAAATCTCTTCTATACTCGAGAATAAGCTTAATATAATTCAAGAAGAAAAAGATATTGCAAAATATTAGAATTTCCAACTGGACGTGACACAATTAACGCTACAGGATGATGCAGCCAACGTATCATATACAGAAATATTTCTAATAATTGATATCTCTGGAGTGCATATACACAACTCGTAAAATGTTATTGATTTTACTGTATGTAATGACGCAACACTATATGAATTCAAACAGCAAGCGAATGTGAAGCATGCGTCTATATGTGTGTGAGAAAGATGATCAGACCATTAAAAAGCAAAAGCTAGATCTATTAGAGTTGGACACACCAGTAATGTTTAAAAAAATAGGTTTTACCTATCGCTGGAGGCGTTTCCATACTGTCTGAAAAGAAATATGTATCGAGTAATAGATCGTACAAACTGCATCTCTTATAAGCTAACGTTATAAAAATAAACATCAAAGGGTACCTCGATCATCTTCAGTGCCAAACTCATCCAGTAAAGTCGATAATGTTACACGAAGTTCAGTGATACCTAAAGACAGTTAAAAAAAAGATAAAAGACATTGTATATTTTTACTCTCACGTCTTTGATCTACCTTGTGCTGGTACTGCTATTTGAGTACGTGGGCTGGCAATGCCGACCATTGATATCTATTTTCAAACATCAAAAGTGCAATTAATTGTATTAACTCTATGGAGTATACAAGCACTTACACGCAAAAAGCGACCACGTTCATTTTCTTTTAAATCAAGATAATATTTTCTGTCGTCACGCGATATAATAACACTTTTCAACCGTCCATCCTCAGGCGCATTATTTGGACTTGGCTCACCTAGACAACGCAGATACAGAAGATTTACTTCTAGTAATTGTGTATAAGAATTATTACTCATTTACCAAGCGTATCGAGATGCTCGTTAAATGTTTGCAAATGATCGCGTAATTCACTAGCCACATTCATCGACATCAATATACGACTTTTGCGTCCGCCAGCACTAACCTAAAGAAATATTCAATCAGTAAGATACAATATTGCAAATGTTTGTTTTATTTATACTTCTGCAATTTTTAAAAATCGTCCTCGTCGATTTTGTTTTACATCAAGATAAAAACGTTTTGATTGTACATGTAAAGTTTTGGTTGCAAGTTCTTCTTCGCCTGCTACCAAAAGTAAAAAGTAGAGTGAAATGATGGGTTACAAGTTAATGCCGTCGTATTCGCAAACCTTGTTGTCGGTCACCATTATCGGGACGGCTGTTGTTATTACTTGCCATTGAACGACCTAAAAACCACTATCAACAACCGACACGAAACCGTTTTGTTCTTTTTTCAGGTTTTCTTTATCTAAAAAACGGGAAAAAGCTCAACAAATCTATATATACATATATATGTTAACCATTATTTTTCTATGTTTTCGGACAAATAGAACGATCTAGCAGAAATCTTTTAAAAATAAGTAGGAAAAAGTAGCTTTAAATAATTTTTGTTTCTTTTTGCACTTATGTGTTTTTCTGCACTTTTTTTTGTTTCTTTCTTTTCTATTGCAGCTGAGAAGAGCAATGAAAACTTTGATTGGTTGTGGTCGGCTTGTCAATATGCTTGAAATCGATCGATTAGTGCTTATTCAACAGTAGAGGACAAACGAAACACTTGATGGATGAAAGGATTTCGAAAGTTTCCGAAGGACTACGAGTGTTTTGATTTTACAATGAATCTACTTTCTGTTGTATTACAAGATATTAAATAATTATTTTACAATATAGTATCTCTGTGACATCTGTAGAGGGCACTCTTTAACTCTATTCTTTTTTATTAGGAATGAAATTTATTTATTCATACTAGGTGATCTGAATAATTTAGATCGAAAAGAATGATCTAATTTCGTTTTGATTTAATTTTTAAATATGTTGAACGACATCTACATCTGTTTTTGTATAACATAACAGATTGCATCTGGTTACTTAACTTTTTAGAAATAACAAGTTTTGATGACAAAATCTCATGTTATAAAGAGAGCACGGTTTTTGTGTATCTGTTTTCAAAGATATATTTATCTTTTTCAGGCGTTTCTTGACAAACGAAGTCAGCGAGTAGCGCATGATGGTATTGTTATTCATTGCTATATATATCACATTTTATTCTTTCTGTTGAATGTTCATACGTTTTTCCGGGTTTTACTCAATTTGAAGTGTTTCTACTGGACGAGAAAGAGAAACTGAATGCAAGGAGGACTGGCCCAAAGCGGTTAGGATCGAGGGTGTCGACAGTTGGAAATCGTATAGAACGCAAGAAAAATTTTCAATTCCATTAGAGAAAAACGAAAAGTTTTCAGGGTTCGGGGTACTCTCGGGTTCGCCTCCTCCACTCGGACCAGCTCTGAATGCAAGAGAGATTTTGTACCATGCTTGAATTGATTAACCATTATTCTTTTAGAACACAAGCTAGATAAATCTCGTTATAGCAATATAAAACTTAAGCTAGCAAGAAATACAAAAGCGATTTTGTACGGTACAAATTTGAACACATGTATTTAGGCTTAGAGTCAAACTTTTGTCGCAAGAAATATGAATAGTCAGTCTAACATCGATAAAGTTTTTGGGGTGTCCACATATATTGCTTCTCAACCTTGTTTTTGCTCTTATTCATATACAGTTTTTCAAAATATCTTTCGTAGGCTTATTAAAAATTTGAGCAAATCATAGATATGAGGGAGGATACTCTTTTCGATGAATCAGAGTCAAACAACATGAAAAAATGTAAAAAAATGTTTCTCTTACTCTCTAAACCTTCTATCTTGACGCGAAACTCCGAATATTTTAGTTCTTTTAGCGATGGTATTATTAAGTAAACTTATAGTGATTAAAAGTCAATTTGTTTGCATGCAATAGCCGATTGTTTATCTTTTTTTCATATTTTCGTTTGGATTAGGCAAATATGGCAGATCAGCTTACCGAGGAACAGATTGCAGAATTTAAAGAAGCATTTTCATTATTTGATAAAGATGGTGACGGAACAATTACTACAAAAGAATTAGGTTTGTCTTTAAACTCTACTAGGATAATCGTGTTGTGAAAACTTTTATTCATTGTTTTTTAGGAACAGTCATGAGAAGTTTAGGTCAAAATCCAACAGAAGCAGAATTACAAGATATGATTAATGAAGTTGATGCTGATGGTAATGGTACCATAGATTTTCCAGAATTTTTAACAATGATGGCTAGAAAAATGAAAGATACGGATAGCGAAGAAGAAATACGTGAAGCATTTCGAGTATTTGATAAAGATGGAAATGGATTTATATCTGCTGCTGAATTACGGGTGTGTAATATTAAAGTTTTGACGAAGCGAATTATCTAGCTGTATCAACTAAAAGACGCTGTTGTTATACAACATTGTTTGCGTAATTGATAATTAAAAGTTATGTTTCAACTAGAAATAGAACTCACAATAGAAAAGCACATGATTGGATCTAATTAGTCCAATTAGTGCTTTGGTGAATGAGGAAATTTGTTATTTGTTCGTTGTTGTTTCCGTAGTTCTCGACGATAGATGTTTGCTTGTTTTGCCATTATAAACGTAGGCCATCGTACTGAAGCGTTTTTTTGCAGAATTCATTATTCCTCGAGGTACTAATATATTTCTCGGTGCCGACGTTTACTATCAGTTATATTTAGTGTGGTCATTTGAAATACTTTAAACCGTTGCTCTTATTATTTAGCATGTTATGACCAACTTAGGGGAAAAATTGACTGATGAAGAAGTTGATGAGATGATTCGTGAAGCAGATATTGATGGGTACGTATTCATTTTATAAATACTCTCAATTTTATTCTATAATATTTTTTCTTATCTAGAGATGGGCAAGTGAACTATGAAGAATTCGTCACAATGATGACATCGAAATAATTTAAAGAAAAGCACGTAAAACTAATGATTTGACATTTTGCTCTAAAATAAAAAATGTGTATTTCTTTTTTGATGTTCGCTTTTTTGTTTGTTTTTTTTCATATGCGCGCCCCATCGTCTATGTTTATTCTCTTCTGGCTAAAACAAAAAATAATTTCATATTCGTTCAAATTTGTCTGTATAAACATCTTTGTTGTGTATTTTTGATGTTCGCTTTGTCTGTTTTTTCTCTTGACTATTGCGCCCCTCTAATCTATGTTTCTTTCTCTCTCTTTTAACAATTCTTCAACTTTGTCAATTTTTTTGAAAATATAACCAAAAAAATTTAACAGCTGTGATGCAAATTGGAGATAATCTATATAATACAGCAATGTGTTAAAATCTATCTGTCGTATACAAGATAAACAATTTGGTGTGATATTATGTGAAAAGAATAAACAATCTTTCACCAATGGAAGAGCGTTATAACCTTCGATATGCCATTTATTTATAATGGAATTGATTATAACGGGCAAGCAATAACTGAAACTGAAACTGGAATTATTATTTGAGTATGTTTCGAACGGTATGTTAGGAACGAATGGTAAGACGTTTCTCTCTTCCTCGGTGGCAAAAGCTCGATAAACTTGATGCTCATTGGGTTTTAGTCCTACGAGGCTCAGTCTCACTAGATTTCGAGGAAATAAATTGATTTTTCTCTCTTAAAAGACTCATGTATTTTAAACATTCAAAAAAAGAAAGGCTCCTATAAGAATGAAGAACAGCTTAGTCAATAGAATAGCCCTTGAGCTTTTTAAACTTATTAATTTTGTGTTAACCTGCAAAAAATCATTCTATACTAGCTCGAACGAGAGTTTTAAAATGTATACCATCTTCAAGCGAGAAAAACGGATGAGCCTCACGACGTTTCAAGATACTCCGACACTTATGCTGTACGGTATTTAGTTGAATTTAGTTGAATATGTCAGTTAGTTAATGATATCAATACCCAGAGGGTGTATGGTGAAGATCACAAAAATAAGATTATGATAAAAATCGAATATGAATACGCAGTGTATTCTGATTTCTTGATATGTTATCTGTTTATTTTAAATCCATTTTTGATCTATCAGCATTCAAAAAGTCATTTTTTCAAATCATCTGAGTGCACCGTAAAGTTCTACAATTTTCAGTAGGTGTTACCTGTACGAAAAAAAACCTAATTTTTAAAGAGTGTCTGACGAAATTAATAGTCAATGAGTAATATTTTGTGCCATATTGACATGGCATGATTTTTTCTTTTGTCGGATAGTTGTTGTTCGCTTCTTGTTATTATTTATCATGCAGGTGTTTGGTTTATATTTAAATTTCAATAAACCGCTTAGTGCTTCTTTCTCTTCTTCTAAGAAGATTCTAATAAAATTCAAATTGTACTATTTTAATATGCATGACACGTACAATACTTCAACTTGTAGTTTATTTAGCAGCGAGATAAACTAAAACATATAGTCTCTTTTTTAGTTCTTATCCTTGTTCTTATGCATAAATAATATTCTTTTTCTCATTTTATTTTGTTGCTATTAAAAAATACTAAGCAATTGAGATTTTTAGAATATACTGGTTTTTCTATATCTGATTTTTGTATTTATTTTTGTTTTTTGTTAAGGATATGCAATTTGATCAGAAATCGGAATAGGAAAAGATAGAGAATAGGAAAAATAGAACTGTTCACCATTCATTAGTAGGATGACTTTTCTAAATTAGACATCTTGAAAGTGTATCAATGAACGATATAAGAACTTTGGTCCGATAATTTCTATGAAATATAATTTGATATTCCGAAGTGCTCAAATTTTGTTCACTTTTCGTCGGTAATTGTACACAATATTATATTTTCTATATTCGGCTTACAAACCAAAAAATATCTTTACTGTCACGAACAATAAATATTTTCTTTTCAAATTGAGTAATAACACATTATAAATGAGATTTCTCGTTTGCATTCTTGAGCGAATATTTGTAAATGTATGCCATACAAGCTAAAAGAAGACATGAAACTCATCGATGAAAAGGCTATTTGAAAACCAGTTTCTTTTTATTCCTTCACTTTTCTTATTTCATTTTCTTTTTGTTCGATTAGACCATATATATTGACATGAAAAAATCAAGTTCTGACGAGAACAAAAAAAAAAAAAAAAGAAGGAAACTGAATAATTTTACTTCATCTCTTTCGCGACATCAACGATGAAAAAATCAAACTATATACGACCAAAAGAAATTCGATTCGTTTAACACGTCACATTGCCAATGTATAAAACAACAATCAACAGTAGGGAAGAAAACAGAACAATACTCTCAATTTAACATTTTTAAATTCAATTTTTATTAAAAAGAGACATTACATGTTGAATATTTTTATTAATTCGACGTAATTATATCTATTTTCTTTAATAAATAATGACTAGTGAATCGGTAAGAAATAGATTTTTAATACAAGAATCTATATTTTAAAATAGTGTGAATATAAAAACATAATTTTCATATTGAACTTTTTGTATTAACTTAAATGAACTATCTTGTTTTACTATTTATGAAAAATAAATACAAATTATAATATTTTCAATTTCGAATAGGAAAGATTGAGTTTGTATTGAATTTCAAATCTTTAAAATCGAATCCTTATCTGGCATCAATTAACTCTTCAATTTAGGATATGCTAAACTTTCGTGCACGGTTAAAATGAACTATTAGTTTATTGCATTTTTCTATTCAATGAGATCCTGTCGTTATAATACGTGTTGCTAATATACCATTTTTCGCTCAAATTTAGGTAGAAACTGTCTCCACTCATGATGAGAAAATAGTTTCTGAATATTAAGGAAGTAGATGTGATTCAAAGAGACCATTTTTGTGGATTAATAAAAATTTATCAAGAAATTATTATGGATTAAAATACATGTTCCGATAGGACACTCGTTTACATAGCCGAGCTTAAATTTGATTTTTTTTATAGTACTAGTACTAGAGAATTGTCTGTTGTTTGTTGTCGACGGCACGGATAGATTAAATTTAAAAAACTTTCCTATTTTCAGGTTGACGGACATTCTAACTCAACTGATCCTTCAGGTACTGTAACAAGTAGTACGCATAGGAGACTTAGTAATTTGATATATCATTATGTAATATTGTCTTTTTGTTGAAAGGTCAGGGCAATGCATTACTTTCTTCTATGAAAAACACTCCACTAACAGACAGTCTAGTGAATAATGTATTTCAGTTACAAAATGATGTAAGTATATGATATATGTAAGTGTATATGAAGTACTTTAATAACTTGTTTCTCCTAATAGGATGGTTCATTTACATTTTCCGATGATTTACAGAAATTATTCAATGTAAATTTCAAAGATGTTGAAGAGAAATTAAAACAGAATGGATTAAATTCATTACGTAAGGAAAAAACGAAATAAAAAAACATTTTAAATCTTGAAGTATATTGATTTTTGTCAAATTTTAGCTGAAGAAAAACAAAAAGAGATCAATAATTTAATTTGCACTGCGTCAATATTATTTTATTTTTTATATCATAGTCAAAAGACTCAATTTCCTATTGAATTTCAGGTCATTAAAGATTTTATTGAAAAAGCTCGAAAAGAACTCGAAACGGTAAATAAAGATAAGAGTCAATTATATTTTTGTGTTTTACTCATACTATTTTTCTTTCTTTTTAGTTTTCGTTAAAAGATGATCCAACGGTTCAATTATACGTACAAAAAGGTGAAAAAGCTGTGGATTATGTGATAAAGATGCGTGATACATATGCTGAAGAATGTAAAAAACTTCAACTTTCAACATGGGAAGAGTATGTTCAACATTTAATGGCATTGCACGGATAATTATTTGTTATGTTTAGTAACTTGAACATTTTCGTGTTATACTATTATTCGTGTAAAACAAGAAAAAGATATTCTTAAATATGTGAAAATTTTTTTTGCAGATCTATTATATTTATGTTTTTTCTATATATGTATGTATTTGTATATATATATATATGAGTTATTATGTACCTGATAAAAATTGAAGTGTACGTCCTTAATGGATAAATATATTTAAAATCGAACAGATAAATAGTACATAAACATGAGTCGTCAGAAACTATTTGATAAAAGTATACTTTTGTTTGAAACACATTTTGTAACTTCACGTAAAATCATTTTCGAAAGTATTTCGCTGATTATGCAGTATTTTTTCAGTAATTTCGTTCTCAAAAGTTGCAGTTGTTTGTTGAGCAAGATTTATAGTGATGACTAATGTATATTATTCGCAAAGGTTACTGAGTAATAAAGAAACCAAAAATTACGATGGATAATAAGTTAAGCTTTTTAAACCGTCATCCAAAAATGAAAAGATATGTAAGAACTATGAGTAAGATGCCTGTCCTGATTGATCATACTCGCATATTGATAATTTCTATCCATTTTGACTATCTATAAACCATTTGATTTTAAGGTACATGGTTAAACAAAAACTTCATCTCATAAAACAAAGAATTTATTCAAAAATGAAAAAAAAAACCAACAACAACAACGATAAAAATAAAAACCAAAGCCGACATAATCAAAGCAAAAACAACAAAAAAAAAGATGAGAGAAAAACAAAAGCTAATCATACAGGCACATACATATACAAAGAATTTTTCTAAATATCAGACCTCATTAACTGAATAGACAAATGAACGTGAGAACGATAGATTGCGACGAATATAATTGTTTTTATTCAGTATGAAGGATATATATAATCTGTACAATTAGACAGAAAACAAAATGAATACTTATGTTTCCAGTATGATCACATCGTTTATGTTATCACTGATTAACTTGTTAAAAAGAAAAAAATAAGAGAAATTTTTTTAGCTATCAGTACCTGTTGAACTATACCTTAACACAGTTGTTAAACAACAAAGACAAGAAAATACATGACGACAAATGCACTAGCACAGTGACAGTAAGACCGAAACAATTAATAGCACAAATAAAAAATATTTAAATAGAAAGCAAAAAAAATTACAACAAAAATATTTTTTTTCATCTAATTTTCCTAACTATTCTGATGTTATAAACCGTTGTATAGATTATGTTTTGATTGTTGATTGAGTAACGTTTTTACAGCTAAAAAATAAAAAATACAATTAATAGATCTTAAATTTTTTTACATCTTATAGTCTTACCTTCTCGTTGATCTGAATTGAATTCACCTTTTGGAAAGTCAACATCTATTGTTATATATAAATCACCAACAATTGTATTACTCTCATGTGCCGGTAGACCTTCACCTTTCTTCTTAATTTTAGCACCTGGCCAAGTAATTTTTTCACGTGTTAATTTCACTTTGTGACCATCTAAATGTGGAAATTCAATATCAAATCCATTCAATGCATGTTGTAATGTTATTGTTAAATTCGTGTATAAATCATTATTTTTTCGTTCAAATTTTCGATGTCTTTAAAAATAAAAAACAAATTTAATAAAAAATTATTTTTATTTTATTATGTAAACAAACTTTTGTATTCGAATAATAAATTTCAAGTCACCCGGTTCTCCATCAATATGTGGTTCTCCTAGAACGGCGTAAATGAATATAGTATTACGATATTTGACTTATATTATTTACCTTCAGCAACAAATGGATATTGAAATCCATCAGGAATACCCGGTTCTATTTCGATTTCTAGTACTTTTTCTTCAGTGACAAATCTATAAATTAAGACAAAGTAATAACATTAGTATTTCGAACATATTAACTTTTAAATACTTACTTTATATTCGGACAATCGTCACACACTTGTTCTTGCATCATTTGAAATCGTCCTGGTCCTAACTGTGTTGTACGCATTTCCATTCGACAATTGCATCGACGACTTCCACTTGTAGTTTTTGCCACCGGTTTAGCACGTACTACCTTAAATACAAAGAGATATAAAATAGATACACAAAAAACAAATAGATATTTATAATTTACCTCTATGAAGTTGCCACTGTAGACTTCTTCAAGTGTAACAAATATTTCCAAATTGACATCACCGCCACGAGGTACATTACTTTCACCACCACCTCCTCCACCGCCACCAAAATGAAAAAAGTCACCAAAAAAGCTAGAAGAAAAAATATTCAAATATTTAATTTTATAAATAGTTTTTAATAACCTCTATATTACCTCGAAAATGGATCATGAAATCCACCATCCTCTCCACCATGCCTTTTTAATCCTTCTTCTCCACTTTTGTCATAAACTTTTCGTTTTTCTGTATCAGATAATGCCTAGAATAGATTAAAAAAGAGAGTAAAGTTGTTACACTAGGAAAAGAATCGTCAACAAACCTCATAAGCCGCTCCAAGATCTTGAAAACGTTCTTGTGCTTGTGGATCATCTTTATTTTTATCTGGATGTAATTCTTTTGCTAATTTTCTATAAGCTTTTTTAATCTGATTTAATGTTGCTGATTTTGGTACATTTAAAATCTTATAAAAATCTCGTCTAATAACGAAACAATAGACGAATATTAGACTGTATCACATAAAATCGAATTTTATAACATTTACCCTGCTACGACCAGACTTGCAAAAAAAATCAACAATGTCAGCGTGAAGATGTAAACGACACAACTCAGTTTCATCTAAAATTTAAAAAGGGTATACTCTCTCAGATTTAATAAAAAAAAACCATTCTATGTCCAATTAACGGCAGAGAAGTAAGGAGAGAAAAGCTAGAAGACAAGCTAGAAATAGTGTCTAGCACTATTCTTTTGTATTTTAAATTAAAAGTTTATTTTTAAACTTATCAATAAATTCCAATCCAACGATGGATAACTCATGAAAAAGTGGAAGTTATTAGCATCACTACATCACCAAAATAGCTGAGTAACATGTATCTTATCACGAATGCATACTGTGCATCAATAGACACATACATCATCGGTATCCTACAGTTTTTCATCTATTTTATTGTTGTCAATAAGTTTAAATGAATGACCTAACCATTGATTGACACTTATTTTCTATCTTCACCGAATATAAAAAAATTAAGTTTAAATTTTTTTGCTTTAACCATATCAGAAGCACGCACAGCATATTGTCGTAATATAACTACACAATCTTGAACAATTATTGAGCTAAACAAAGCTATTCATAAAATTTTATCACAAAAATGATAGCTCTTCAAGTTGTTCAGTATTTATGAAGATAAAATAAAAATAAAAATTAAACCAAGTGAAAAAGTTTATATTCATTAGTTGTCCATGAAATATTGAAAGAACCTTACTATAGTGGAGAGAGATGTGTATTTTTACACTTTATTGAATCAAACCATTAAAAAATGGAAGAAATTTTTAAATTATTTCATTTGAATAATAAAAAAGAAGCTTTTGTTACTATTATGCATACATGTTACGATTATGCATTATAATCTTGTATTATAGGAATTGAATATATCTTAAAATGAATCGTGCATGAAATTCATTTGTTTAATTTCACCACAAGTCAAAAAATCACAGACAAAGAGTGTTAATCTTCTAATGCTGATTTGTTTTGATTTAACAATGCACACAAAAATTAATAGAAAAAGAAAATACTCACAAATGAAAAAAAAATATATATAACAAACAAACAAAAGAAAAAAAAAAGACATACACACGTCTTATCTACATATATTAATAATATTCTAGGAGAACATAAGTGCCGAAAAAAAAAGACAAATTAAAATCGATTATCAAACGAAATTCTGTGACATAAACTAAATTCGGTTTTTGATTCTTTTTTTTTTATAGAAAATGCACAAAATTGACATCAAATATTCAAAGGAAGAACATAATCATTGCAACACAAAAAAAAAAGGATTAGCAAGGGCACCGGATTTTTTGGCTCATGTACGTATTCGATAATTGAAAGTTAAATACGTACTTTTTGTATATACACTATGAATTCAAAAAGTATTAGTTTATCTCTATTTTTGATTTTTTTTTCTTGGATAGTTAAAAGAAATTCAAAAAGTGATTCGAACTATTGAAAGAATTTTCAATCAGATGAGATGTGTGTGCATCGAACCGAAACAAAAGAAAAATCGATAAACTAGCTCAACCTAGATAAAGTGGTACATTTACCTAGCTCAAGCTAGAGCTAGGTAAATGTACCACTTTACCTAGTTTGAGCTAGTTTATCGATTTTTTCTTTTGCTTGGGAAGTTCTATATCGAAATTGTTAGAAACTAGAGCTCTGGAATAGAAGATCAAATCTCCATATTTGACTAAAAACTTTTTGTATACAACTTAGCCAAATATAGCAAACATTTTTGAACAAAATGGAATGTTTCTGAGTACTCTACGATCATTTTTTTTATTAAACTATTTTTAACTTACGACAGACTCCAGCAGGCATTTTTTGCTGTTTTTCTATCCATTTTTGATAAGGTGGACGGCATTTTATGAGAGACACTAGGTTTTCAACAATTTTGGATAGAATCTTGATACACAACACACATACGTTATCTGATTGAAAATTCTTCTAGTAAAATACTAGAATTACTTTTTAGATTTCGTTTGATTATCATGATTGAAGAAAAAAAACTCAAGAAGAAAAAGACGAACGAATCATTTTTTTTTTGGACTAACTATTTATATTTAAGTGTAAATTAGAGAAAAAACAGATTCTTCCTAGTTTTTTTGTTTTATCAACAAATAAATATAAACAATCAAATGCAAATGACTAAATAACAAAAGAAGAAAAAAAAATTAAACGTGACATCATTTCATAAACTTTTTTAGAAAATAAAACGTAATAATACTTTTTGCACAAAAAAAGCGAGAGAGCGTGACGGGACTTATTGAAAGAAATTACATCTAAGAAACGAGATCCAAAATGAACAATATTTGAATACTGTAAGAGATATAAAAACACAAAAAAAAAAAATTTCTTTCAATTTTGTAAGCCATCGTCTGGTTCATCCTCAACAATACTAGGCTCTTGATTTGTCGATGATAATTGTCCAGATGTAGTCGATGATAAAGTAGATGATGCAATGAGGTTTTGAAGAGTTTTTTCAACAAATTGTAAACGTTTATCGAAATCACCCATACGAACAAAAATTTCGTTTAATTTTGAAGAAATTTGTTGATTAGTAGCAGTAGTCGATGATGAAGGGACGGGTGAGGAGGGCGAAGATGGCTGTTGTGTTTGGTTAGACTGTTGCTGGAGCTCCTGTGTTGGCTCAATATCATTCTAAAACAAGAAGAAAATCACATTGAACACGATGTAAAATTATTAGAGGTAAACAAATAGAATGAAGAAATGTGCAAACAATATTACTTCGTGCTTCAAATTAATATTCACACTCTCTATGACTTTCTTTGTAACTAGACGTCACTATACTATTGTCGTGGCTTTTTTCAAAATCTTTCTCTGTATTACCGTCAAAATAACTGTAAGTTTTTTTTTTAAATATTAGTTGGTTAGTTAAAATTGAATTTTTTAATAGATTAAACATTAGATGTGAAATTAATATAACTATTGTTAGTATGTTACAGAACATTTATTTGAAGTTTATGCAGTTGTCGAACTCCACATGCGTTATAGAGCGAGAAAGACACTGTAAAGAGCAGAGGATTATAATCACAAGTTTTTACCTAAGAGCTAGAGTGATAAAAAATAGGTATCCTTGTTTCTAACTGTGTGGAAAAAACAAATATTTTTAACTGTGATCAATAGAAAAAATTGTAAAATTTGAGAAGAAGGAAGAAATTCTTATCAAGAATTTATGAATTTTTTCTTCTATCTATCAAGATAATAAGTTATGTGAAGCTTATGTTATTATAATATTTCAAAATATCTGAGAAAAAGGTCTTTGTATATATCTGAATGTAGAACATGCACGCATGCAACAATAGACAACATAAACATATACAATAGCAAACCGGTTAAACCAATAACAAAGCAAAATTATTTTAACAAAGAAAACTTCATCTTCATCTTACTCACTAATTAGGTAATAATTTGATATGTATGTATACGTGTGTATGTATATATGTTTAACAAAAATATAAATATGAAAAAAAGAGAAGAAACAAAATGTGTATGAGAAAAATTGACTTAAGAAAATTTGAGTAAACAACAGGAATCGTTGGAATGAGATAATAAGATTTATTATCAATATTATTATGAGTCGTCTAGATCATCAATTGGCCCTTCATACTGGGATAACCGTTCTTCCAACGTCTTAATACGACGTTCATGCCCTTTTACAATAATTTTTATACGTCGCATTTCTTCACACATTTTTTCAATTAATTCATTATCGGCATGCTGAAGAAGAAAAATGAAAACGTAGACCTGTTTGTTTCGCAAAATTAAGATTTGATAAATAGAATTGTCGTATACAAATAGAAATGTTTATCGTTATTACATAGAAAATATAGATAATTTGATAGTACCTGAGAAGATGGTTGTTGATGGAGATGACCATTACCGCCTTTCTGCGGCGACGATTGTGTCGAACTTGGATTCGCATCACGTGCGGAATTTTGCTGTGTTTTAGTTGTAGCGGCTGATGATTTTCCAAATACAACTTCTTGTTTTGCTGATCCTCCGCCACCACCACCACCACCACTACTACCGACACTACTTACAGTTTGTGCTGGTGTTCTCGTGTCGAAATCACGCATTGATACCTAAAGTAAAAAACCCAAAAGTACTAAGTTAAGATCTTAGATGACGTATAAAATAATTTACTAAAGTCGGATTTGCATCAGCTCCATTAATCCAATCGTCAGCTGTAATTGCGTGTTCTTCTGCTGTTGTGTCCGGATATAAGTCTTCTTGGAAGAGTTCAGACTATAAAAATTAAGACGATTAAGATCCTGGAAATTCAAAATGTAAGCATCATTTTCTTTTTAATTAAATTATACATCGTGGAAATTGTGCATCGAACTGA